AGGAAGGGAGAGGGATAGAGAGTTAGAAACATCGATGAGAGAGAAACATCAATCAGCTGCCTCCTGCACATCTCCCACTGGGGATGTGTCCGCAACCCAGGTACATGCCCTTGACCGGAATCGAACTTGGGACCTTTCAGTCCGCAAGCCGACGCTCTATCCACTGAGCCAAACCGGTTTCGGCTCCTTTGAGTTTTTGATTTGTAAAGCCTCGTCTTCTAATTCAAGAGTATCTCTTTGACCCAGGATGTTTCCCAATATGCATTCAGTTAAGGCAGGTGCTTAACTCGTAGAAGATAAAAAGGAAATTTTCTTTCTTTTTTCTTTTTTGTAGCCTTCCTAATATTTACAGTAATATCATTAACTGCATTCTTTATCAATAGCAAAAACAGGATACTTTTTGCAATGTAATTAGATGTTCTACAGTGCAACAAGAAATTGACTTCTAAAAGGGGGGGAGGGTTCATTTATAATATTCATTTACAATTCAATATATAATTACACAAATAATTTTTAAATAGAATCAATAATAAAGACTGTTCTGTGGATGGTAGTGCATAATACATTTTATATTTTGCATAGTGATTTCAGGCCTTTTGTTTTCTTAAAATCAGCAGCTATTTAACCTGATTCTGAGCATTATTTTGTCCTTTGCGCCAGAACTATTTTGTGCACGCTTTTTGTGATGTGTTAAAAGTCTGCATTGCCAACATTGCAGCTCGAACTTAAACTTGTTATTCAAGTAAATATTTAATTTTTTTTATTGCTCTTGTATAACAGATTCCCCTTTTAGTATTATTTTAGAAGCATTGGGAGGGTTTTGGCTAAAGTACAATTTATTGGGGAAAACTAGATTTTAGTTTTATAAAACTTTTAAGTCTTTCATGGGACCTATATTTTCTTGAATTAAATTTTGTAGTTCTAGAAAAAATAGGCGATCTAAAAAGGTGTTTATCTGTGTTACTTAGAAGCATAGGCTTCCTTATATTGTAACCTACTAAGCGATCTGGAGGGATTCCTGTCATTAAGCACAAGTGCACTGACCCCTCAAGTGTCTGCATAAGAGAACAAGCACCACATCGCTGCAAGTTTCCAAATGCTTCCTACATACAGGCCCCAGAGCCATGTGAACCCATCAACTTCTTGCCAAAGGAAACAGCCACTGGGGAGAGAAAGCCCTGGAAGAGGCTTTACCATGGACACTCCCCCTTTCGGAAGCCCAAGAGCAGCCTGTCTGGCATGTGTCACGAACTCAAGCCATAGAATGGTGTGCAGTACCTGAGAGGCTGCTACAGAACTGAAGTTAATTGGACATTTTATAGGGATTTATACAGATGTTGGTCCTCAAAAACTACAATCCAGTGGTCTGCAAAATAAAATGTGTTGGAAACCTCTGAGATGAACATGCTGTCGAACTTTTTTTTTTTTAATACACTAGTGATGCCTAAATCTGAACAACTTTCGATGTAGATCAAGTCTTGAAGACTGATGATTTCCTTGGTGGCAGGCCTACTGAAATCAAGATGTGCTTGAGGAAATTATCTTTGAGAAGATTTATATATATGATAAAATGTTGGGTAATTAGAGGTTGGTGTCATTCACGTGATCCAGGAGGAAGAGCTGTTCTTAAAGGAGTGTTTCTCAGCAACCAGGTCCAGCTCACCTGTGTTAGAATCACTTGGGGATTCTTGTCAAAGGCAAAATCTTGGGCTCCACCCCAGATCTGCAGTCAATATGGGGAGCATGGGACTAGGGACTCCCTTAAGCACCCTAAGTGGCTATCCACTAAAGTCAGAACCACAGGACTAAAGCAACGGTGCAGCGGGCTGGGAAAGGCAAGGGAAGGAAGAAAAGTGGACTTGTCTTTAAAATAAACTTTTCCAGGAGTTTTTCTTTTACATATTGACCATTCTGTTTACTGACATCTGGGCCCAGCAAAACAAAAAAGCCCAAGTGCCTTGAAAGATCCTTGAAGAATCAGGTGATTGTCATTGAGTATTTGTGATCATAGTATTTGATAAAATCCATGTAGAATATCTTTAAGTGAGCTATTAATAAATAGACCATTATCCGGCTTCCTGGAAGCACTTTAAAACTTCACATTGAGGTGTGTTTATCTTGGTATAGTGATTTATTTTCTGTAAGCCCTATGATAGTTGCATCCAAAAATGCAGTTTGTTAGAATGCAGAGAATTAGTGAATACAGCCTGAGGAGGCTGGGCCCTGGTGAGGTCAGTTCCTTCAGGCAACAGGAGGTATTTCCCAAGGAACATCAAAGTTAAGCTTATTTGCTGTGTTGAAGCATTTATTGTGATTCAATCCAGGAAAAGAAACTGAAATACTGTGCCAGCAATATGTATTTTTTCTTTTTTTTTAAAATCTTCAGGAGAGGATATGTTTATTATTTTGTTTGTTTTTAGGGAGAGAGGAACAGAGAGAGAAACATCAATTAGTTGTCTCTAGTATGTACCCCGAACCCACAACCTGGGTATGTGACCTAATCAGGAATTGAACCTGCCACCTCTGAGTGTATGGTAATACGCTCCAACCAACAGAGCCACACTAGCCAGGGCAGGATTGTTTCCTTTCCTACATAATTGGCTAAGGCTTTAAAATAGATCCAACCCAGAGTTTTCTTATCAATGCTCATGATTACTGTCAAATGGTTGAAAAACAATTAACAATTTTAAATTACTGTATCTGTAAATGGAGAGTAGAGATGGTTGCCATGGGCTGGGGGAGGGGAAAATAAGCAAATGTTGGTCAAAGCCTGTAAACTTTCATGTAAAAGATGAGTAAATTCTGTACAGTAGGGCAACTAATTAATAACAACACATACTTGAAATTTGCTAAGGGAGTTGATCGTAAGAGTTCTCACCACACACAGATAACAGATGATATGTTAATTTGTCATCATTTTACAATGTATACATATATCAAATTATCCCCTTGTACACTTTATATATAATTTTGTCAATTACATCTCAGTAAAGCTAGGGAGAAAAAAATAATCTACAACCCAGGAAATTGTGTTTTTAAAGAATATTGATGGTAAAATTCTTATGCTGTAATACAAGGCAAAAAAAATACCAATTTTATAAAATATATATATGCGTGTATTCCAAGTATATATGAATGGAGAAAAAATGCACAAAAATCTAAATGACTTTCTTCTAGAGACTAGGAGCATGAGTGAATTTGTTAAAATTCTGTATTTTCAATTTTTTCCACTGCATATGTATTTGATCACAAAACACTGAACCATTTAAATATTTGTTATATTTTTAAATATGTTAATATAATTAATGGAAAAATGAAATATACATGAAGGGCCATGGAAGCACAAAATTTTCTTGGGAGATGGATAGGTCCCGTCATTCTTGGGCAGTTTAGCTTTAGAACAAACACTTCTTTCCCCAGCAGAGTCCCTGGTTCCACTCTCTCCCCTCTGTGCACACACTGCCTGTGGAGAAATTCCTTGTGCAGATTGTTAAGCCCTCACCAGCTACTTACTGCCTTTCTTCCAACTAGCTGAGAACCTTCTGCTACCATGAATGCTTGCCTGCACCCCCTCTATTTCCCCTGTATTTTGTAGACAGCCTTGCACAAATTAGGTCCTTAAGAAGAATCTAAGGCCATGGTTCTCAACCTTGGCTGCACATTAGAATCACCTGGGGATCTTTTTAAAACCCTGATATCTGGGCCTCATCCTCCAGAAATTCTGTTTCTTTGTTATGTGGTGGGGCCACAACATTAGTAACAAAGAAACAGAATTTCCAGAGGATGAGGCCCAGGAATCAGAATTTTAAAAAGATTCCCAGGTGATTCTAATGGGCAGCCAAGGTTGAGAACCACTGATCTAAGATTTGTTGGTTGACTTCATGTAGTGCTAGGTAATTTACCTGAGTCCTCTTGATGTTTCTCAATCCAGACAATTCATTTTATCCTTTCATCTTCTCTCGGCTTCATACATAATCTCTTTTAGTTCCTAGTTCAGGCTGAAAGATTAAAAATCTTTTTGTATCATACATTATCTCAGATTTTCACACTTGTTTTAATTATGGCTGACACCAGATATGGGCTTGGAGAAAACAGTCTTACATCTCTTTGTCTGGAAATAATTTATATAAAGTCTATCTTATAGCTACAACATACAGCTTATAATTGTGACCTTATATCCTGCTTTTCCTAAATTATTTTCATAAGAGATCGTGATCTTTATGGGACATATTCTGAATTCTAATTCAAATCTAAAGAAATGGTAGTGGGGTGTGTGTGTGTGTGTGTGTGTGTGTGTGTGTGTGTGTGACTTTTCTTGTTTCCATTACCACAAAATACCAGAAATGGGGGTTCTCAGAGGATGAGAGTAGAGTTAGTGATATATCAAAGTCACCTGGAAAGACTTCATTGGGGTTAGGTCTCACCTAGGTAATCTAGGATGAGCTCATCTAGAGATTCTTAATCATATCTATCAAGACCCTTTTTCAAAACAAGGTCACACTCACCCTTTCCAAGGGTTAGGAAATGGACAGACCTTTTTTTTTATGGGAGGACATAATCTTTAGGGGGAAAGATCAGGAATTTTGTTTTGAGATGTCTGTTAGAAATCCGGAAATCCTAGTGACGATGTGAAGTAGGCAGCTGGATGCACACAGTCTGGAGTTTATTGGATAGTACAGGGCAGACACAGATTTGGGATACAGTTTACAGAAGGAACTTAAAGTC